TTCCATTTTTGCGCCGATATCGCCAGCAGCCTCATGCAGCTCGGCGACCCCGACGTGCTGCGCCGCCTCGCGGGCAGCTCGGGCAGTCGCCGGAGGGGATGCAGAGCATGGGAACCACCTTCTACACGAGCGGGCTCGGCGTCGGAAACTTCCTCAAGAGCCTGCTTGTGACGTTTGTCGACCGGGCTACCAGGGCGAGCGCCGGCAAGAGCTGGATCGGTGACAACCTGAACGACTCGCACCTCGACTACTACTACGTGTTGCTGCTGCTACTCTCCGTGGTGAACATGGCGCTCTTTATGTGTAACTAAGACCAGACCTGCAGCTAAATAGGCACTAAACAGAAGCTGGAAGGACAAGTTGGCTCGGTCCCAACGAGCCGGAAAAGCTTGACCGAGCTGGCATCACTTCGGTCCGGTCCTGAAAATACAGACCGCTGGCAAGCTCGGTCCGGTCCGGTCCGGACCGCCGGCGGCCGGTCCAAACGCCGGCTCGGACCGGGACCGGACCGGACCGGACCGTGTCCAGGCTGAATCGAGCCTGTGCTGAGGTGCCGCTCCTCCGCGCCTCTTTCCCGTCGTTTTCATCTACCGTAGCATCGTCTCGCTGAAGCTGGTGCCCTGTCCGCCATGGATAAGCCCCTGGAGCTCGTCTCGCATGCACACACCCAGCCACGAGCGCCTGTTCGCCTCCACACCCGCATCAACAGCTACTCGTCCGCTCCCGCCTCCGCAGTCAACGCAATCCAAGAGGGCAGGTCGGGGCAGCCGGCAGGCCGCAGCCAGACGCCATGGTCTCGCCTGCCCGGCATGGCCAGCCGCCATCGCGGGCGAGCAGCGTGCGCCAATCCGGAAGGCGCAGACGTCGGTTCAGAGGTGCTGCACCTTGCCGGCCCAGCCGCCACCGCCGCCGAGGTCGAGTCCCCTGCCGTAGGTCGAGACGGGCGGGCTGTTACTTCCCAAAATGCTCTCAGGATTTGATACTGGAGGACCTGAGCGAATGAGCGCAAGCTAAGCCGCTCGCCATTTTTTTGACAAATTGGAGCAGTACTGAATGATCACCACCATTAGATTTCACGATTGGACGGCCAATATTTCACGCAGCGTACCATAAAAGAGCTCCTTTTTTAGTACTCCCTCCGTCCCACAGTTCGCAAAAACGGCTGGGACAGAGGGAGTATTCAAGAGAAATCCTGCTCGAGCGGTCATTTTGTGAAGATAAATAGAATTAGATGTTAATTGGGTTTTAGTGAGCAGAAACTATATCACCCACTGAGAAACATCTTTCATATAATATCATCATTCTATATCACTTTCACTTGTCAGCAATTTCATTTTTAACATTTTGTACTCTGCACGCCCTTTGTCGTCCTTATTAATTAATCTATATATCCATCAAAGCTCTTTATCACCGCAGTATCAATCAAGACAATTAAGGTGAATATCTACTCCAAAAATTTTTCATGCAGTGAGTAGTGAGTACTAGACACACTTGCTTGTCTGACGTATTATGCATTTTCCCTCCCCTTCTCTATATATATGTTCAAGATCCGACGGATAAAATGCAATGAGTGGCCCATGTACTAATGTTAGCAAACTAAACCACATATTTTATTGTCTTGTTGGATTTTTCATCTGTTCCACCCAAGATTCACATCTTTGAGCGAAAAAAGGAAATTAGAAATGTGAGAATACATTGGAATGGGAGACATTAGGAAAACAATTCAACCCAGCCGTCTTCATGGGACTGCAAAGTGCAAACTATGAGTTTCAATTCGGCCAACTGATGGTGAAATCTCTTAGCCCCAACCAAACTCTGTTTCTTTCAGATTCCGTCGTCTACCATTCAGCTGTGGAAAATATTTAGCCTGCCAAAGCCTTCTTGAAGGGTTAAGAACAGAAGCTGGAGATAATTGCAAAGGAATCGAAGGGCTGACTACAAAGAAGTTAACGCGAGCTAGCTGTTCGGGCTGTTAACTCTGAAACCCAGGCCATCGCTGGGGACATCAATGTACAGGAGGCGTGGCATGGTTAACTACTCCCGATCGGCGTTGTGTTGAGGGATAAAACTGAAAAACAAATGTACTGCTATCTCTCTACCTGCTCGCTCCTGTTTCACCTTTGTTGAACTCTGAATCTCCTCTGTCTACTCGCTCCTCTTTCACCTTTCTTGAACTCTGAATGTCAGGATTATCCTGTATATCTTAGCATGACGCAGAGACACACTTGTATCCTGTTTTTAGGGTAAGACACACTTGTATCTGAATCGATGCCAGTGTTACATTATCCTGTGGGTCGGATGTTAAACTACAATGACATTCTTTTTTCAGCTGTCAGATGTTTTTTCTTATGTAACCTTTTGTATGTTCAATTAATCAACTTGCGGCTTTGTATACTTGCGAGAACGTGAAGTGTGTGTTTTGTACATATTTTGTACACTACAATGACAGACTAATTAATCAGAAAACCATAGTTAGTCTTGGCTCTAGCACTATCTATGCTTTTAGTTATTGTGGATATAGATGTAAATTGATCGATAAATTAAGTCTTTGTGTTGAAATTATAAATCAAATCAAAAAAATAATACAATTTTTGAGGAAAAATTCAAAATAATATTTGAATGTGCAAGATGAACAAACTATGACAAGATTGAGTAAGCGAGAATTCTTTAGCATTTTTTTGGTAATATACATCAGTGATAACATTACATTGTATAGGCAATCTGTAGAGAGATCTTGAGTTTGCTGGACGTGAAGTTTTTGCACCCGAGCTCAAATAGCTCGGTTGAAAAGTAAATTCGAAAAATATTTAAAAATGTTTAAAAAAATCTGAATTTTTTATGGCAAATTTTGACAAATGTTCTAAGAGCTTGCAAACTTTCATCATAAAATCACATTTGTGGAAGTCATGGCAAAAAATAACAAAATTGATACTCTGAAAATGCTACTTTCGAAAGCATTTTGGAGCACTAATTTTTTTTTTTGCCACGACTTCCACAAATATGATTTCATGCTGAAATTTTGCAAGCTCTTAGAACATTTGTCAAAGTTTGCTGTAAAAAAATTAGATTTTTTTTCAACATTTTTAAATGTTTTTCGAGTTACTGTTCAGTTGAGCTCGGGTGTAGACGGGCACTTTCACTCATCATCTTTGGAAGTAAGAACATGTACAACCATGGTCCCAAATATTGGCCTCCGACGCCCGCGTGCGGGCTCCGCGATCGCTGTAAGGTTAGGATTTTGCCACCCAAGCAGATCAGGAAAATCCAGCCCAAAAGTACGGGTTGTATGTCGCTCACATACCTAGCCTGGGGACACCCGGTTGCGCCGGCCGCGTAGGCTGTGGCCCGCTATGGCCCACCATGAGCCCATAAAGACCCCACCAAACACTAGCTCGGCGTCCATTCTCGGCCACTCTGCTCACTCACAGTACCCTCCTATTCCTGTCACCTCCCCTCCCTTCCAGTGTAGCCCCCTTCACCATGGCGAGCTCCAGTAGCTCCTCTGGCAGCGATTCCGATCCCATTGACTGCAACGACCTCTTGCAGGAGGATGTCTCCGGCAGCGAAGCGTCGAAAGACGAAGAGTTTGCACTTCACATGACCATTGAGTGGTCGCAGGTGGACACTGGAGGGAGCTCAAGCTCTGCATCGTCCGCGTTGTCCCCCGTGGCCCGCCACGACAATGCGACGAAACACGATGACCCGTCGCGCTCTGCTCCGCTTCAGATTCAGCGTCGCATGCCCCCTTCCCCTCTGGTCCCAGCTCCTCTGGGCAGCGTTAGGTGCTCGTGCCTGTGCCAGCCTAGAGGACGCAGATGTCGGAGTCAAAGGTAAAAACCGCCCGCCGCAAGAGGCAGTGGGCCGCGCAGTGGCCCGAGAAGGCCGTCCCTTCCTGCCCATGCACCATATCCATGCATGCCAACCTAGAGGAGTAGGTCCTCTGCGAAGTCATGAACCGTTCGCTGACACCGGCGGATACAGACACTGGGCGTCTCTGGCGTAACAACCCAAAGTGCTCCGGCTCGGGATCAAAGCATCGGAGCGCCTCGGGACAGAGAAGGAGACGACCAAGGTCAAGGCGGCACGTCACACGAAAAAGCAAGCCCATACTATCCACCGCCTTCTCTGTCTACATCTCCATGTCGTCGGACAGCGGCATGACGAGAACGGATGATGATGACAGTCCTCCCGCAATGGACGCCTACACAGACGAGTACTACCGTGGCTTCGGTGACCGCAAGTGGAAGGGGCCGCCAAGAAATGGAGATCCACTCCTCCCCACACCATGTAGCTAGTATACTTTGTATGTACTAATATATTAGACGAAGAACTATTTCTGATGAACTATGTCCGATGACGAACTATGTCTTTTGTGATGACGAACTATGTCTTTTGTCTATGCTACTAGATGACCAGTTGCGCCAATGGCGCAAAGGCCGAGAGCAAGCCATGTATTGAAAGAGTGTACATTAATATTATTCGGGCACATATTGAAGTGATAAACATTAGACAGAGTCATCGCTGCACGTTTGACCATGGCGGCAAAAGCAAGAGGGAGCCAAGCATTCAAAGCATGTGCATGAGATTGATTTAGAATCAACTTAAAGATACTTATATTCCATTACATGAAAGCTTGGTGCTTAAAAGAAAATATTCAAATCACTTAATAATAGCATACATTGTGGCTTTAAAAGACAAGTTATATTAGCATAGATGGATGATGTATATAGTGCTTGCCCGTTAACCATCGCTCGAGTCTTGTACCTACCGTCGGCAGGAAGGAAAGAACCTACGACCTAGGCGGACGAACAACCTAGCCGCACACTGCAGACAGGATCAGAGGCCAATAGACGAACAAAAAGAATCAAGCGACTGTGTATAAAACAATAAGCAGATGGTACACTTTATTAATTATTTTTCTAGCTGCTGGAGAGGCACTCGGTGAGCGCCTCGCACGGCGGATCAGAGGCGGCTCACCTCGGGTCATCTTCCTCACCTTCTCGCGCATGCGGCGACCACACAGACGGCGGCGACTGTCTAGCCAATCGCTGGAGGCCGGGCTAGGGCACGGCGGTTGCTGGACCTGTCGGTGCTCCTCGCCTCCCTGCAAAGGCAGAGCGCCAGCCCCTGCATCTTGGGGAGGTGCAATATCGGCCAGGAGAGGTGCCTGTCATGGTGAATCCAGCTGTTAGTAGAATATAACTACAATGTTTGTAAAGTAGAGTATAAACTGCAAATCAACCAAGATATGAGACATACTGGATAAGATAGGATATAACTGAATGTATAAAACACCAAAGAGAAAATATGG